AGGAAAGGGTCAACTTTCGGGGGATTTTGACATTTTTCTTGGATTATTTAGTGACATGTCTAAATCTACGGTGGTAGGTGGTATAGTTTTATTGGCTATTAGATTACAATTTAGCGGCCTTTCGGTTGGTGTCGCTCTCTGAGAAGATAATTCTGTGTGGTTGGAGAGGGGTGCTGCGGTGGATTCTACGGTATCTCTCAAAGGGTTGGGTATAATTGCTGCTTGCAATGTTCTATTGTTTATTCCACAGTTAGACTCAGTGTGATAATTATATACGCGCCTTTCTATGACGGTCTTGTCCACCGCAACCTTTACCAGTTTATAATTTCTGGCTTGCAGTGGGGTGTGTTGGGAGTGGATAAATTTTCTGGCCTCAGCAGGTGTTTCGAACTGAAAACGAATAGGACAACACTTTTCATGTTGACTCTTCTTCAGCCTGTAGCACTTAGTCTTGGAGTTGGGCATTTTCGCCTCACTAAGTAGGATGCGCTGTACCTTTTTTAGTGCCTCATTATCCGGAACGTTGTAGACAATAGCATTTAATTTAGCATCTAGTCGTTTTGTTACTTCTGTAGTAACAAAGTTAATTAGGTTATCCACCTTAGATATCGATTCACTGTCAAGTTTGTTAAGGTCTACAGTTTTCATGAGAATAGTTAAAGGTGTCAGTTCACAGACCTGCAGTCTGATATCACTGATCTGACCTGATAAATTGGAGATTTTGGTATTGGTATCGGAAATTCCAGGATCTACTGACTTATTGTTTTTTAAGTCCCTTAACTCGGCCTTAAGTTCTCCTATAGACAACTTTAGAAGTTCTATTTCTGAAGATAGTACTGAAACAGAGCTTGAAGGCTGGAGCTTTTCGATAAGCACATAAGGTGTAGGGAGGGTTTCTGTGTGAGCAGAGGGTACTGAATTTTTGGGAGTAGTGCTAATACTAGCTGTCAGTGCAGTTTTATCCTCAGTTTCAGCTCGACGCTTACGACATACAAGTGAGTTTTGTGGCTCACTATAACCATTTGTAGGAAGTATGTTGCTTGATGTAGCAATCAACGACTTAAAATTAGTCATCAGTTTTACAGGGGATTGAGTTCGCTGCTTTTTACTTTGGTTAACCATAACTATTTGATATGAGAGTTAATAGTTATAGGGATGGAAGTAGTAGAGGACTTGTGCAAGGATTACAACAAGATAAATTTTATGTAACGAATCACGCGAAAATGTAACGCAAACGTTGGACGTACCGCTGAATTATTATATCGTCCCTTTAGTCACAACACAGCCCAAAAGAAAGTCATCATGGTTAAAGAGAGGCACGCAGCGTATTTTGCAAGCAAAGCGGAAGGCTTGGTTTACGTGGCGCGTATCTAAAAGCCAGATCAACCATGATGCATACCTGGAACTCAGGAACCGGTGCAATGCAAGAGTCAGGAGGGACAGGAGGTCATTCCAGGCTAACCTTGCTAAAAGACTCCTGGCAAACCCGAAGAATTTGTACCGATTCATGTCGGAAAGGAAACCAACCAACCAGGGAGCGTGCGCCTTAGTAGGCCAAAATGGTTAATATCTCACTAGTTTGGAGATGGCCGAAACATTCAGTTTAGCCTTCGCCAAACAGCTAAACAGCAATGTGAGTATTACCCACCAGTTATAGACCAGTAGCTCTTTCTAGACTTTGAGAAGGCATTTGACACTGTTCACCATGACCTTCTCCTACACAAAATAAGCCAGGTAGGTTCAGGTAAACCACTTCTGTCATGGTTGAAGGACTACCTAACTGGAAGGCAATTTTGCACCAAGGTCAATCGAGTCCGATCATCTTGGCACAGCTCGTCATCAGGAGTGTCACAGGGTTCTATCCTGGGACCACTGATGTTCCTGATTTTTATCAGTGATCTACCATGTCATCTAAGTTGCCCGACTCTTCTATACGCTGATGACGTGAAGATATGGAGGGCGATAAGGTGTCCGGAGGACTCAGATAGACTGCAGGCAGATCTAAGGCTTCTGGAAGACTGGGCGGTGGCCAGTGACATGACTTTCAACCTGAAAAAGTGCAAAGTAGTGAAGTTACGCACCTGTAGACTGCGGAATGTAAGTTACACCCTGTGCAATGAAAGCTTGTCCTGCTCAACGTCGGAACGTGACTTAGGTCTAGTTCTAACGGAGAAAATGGACACAAGCGTAGATTACACGGGGGATGTAGCGAGGGCATATGCGGTCATACACTTTACACATAGACAATTAGGTGCACTCACTCCTGAGCTCTTTCTCAGGTTGTATAAAACATACGTCAGACCGCATCTTGAAGTGCATAATATCATTGCACCCGCACTGCATAGAAGAGACGCCAACCTCTTGGAAAGAGTTCAACGACGAGCAACAAAAGGAGTGGTTGGTCTCCGAAATAAACCATATGATGAAAGGCTGAAGAAATTAGGCCTATTCACACTTAGTTACCGTCGTCTTAGGAGGGACTTAATTACTGCCTACAAAATAACAAATGATCAGAATCACCCAAACAAAGGTGTTCTGCCATTGAGTGGAGATACTAGAAGGATAGCTCATCAGAGGGCAAGGACCCGGGTGCGTTCCTACTTCTTTTCCCTGCGGGTTTGCCATCCCTGGAATTCCTTACCGGCAGATGTAGCTATGGCACCATCTGTGGACGCCTTTAAGCGAAGGCTGGACAACCATGCAGCGACACAAGGACTTCATCCAAATGGCCTATCGCCTTTAAATCGCATACACCATTCAAAGGTAGACAATTAAACTGGTCGTTTTACTTCTTTACATTCTCTTCCGTCTCACTCTCCTGACAGCTTTAACTACACCTATTATTATTATTATCATTATTACTGGTATATATATATATATATATATGTATACCGGTTGACCGACTGTTGTTACGTTTTCTTATTCTTTTTCTGTCTTTTAGTCTACCGAAGATCAGGAACCTCTACCTCACAATCAAGAGGCGAGCACAAAGAAATCAAATTGGTTTATACTAGCTCGTAAAAACGATATTGGATATTGGAACAAATCTGGAACTAGTACGTCACTCCTCCAAAGTTAGCCACTAGTACCATATATACTGATATGCATATATATATACTCAGTACTAAAACTTAACACTACGGTCAGTTGGAAGGACGGATATAGAATTTTCCGATTGATGTAATTGTTTACAAACGCTAATTTATGTAGAGTATTAATCGTCGACACAAGTCGTCGCGCCCAATTTAACGATTGTCAAGGCCATGTTTGTATCCATGCTGTCACTTAAGAGACATTTACTCTGGATTTTCAAGGTTTCTCAATTTCATAATTTGTTCTAACTAAATTTAGAGATCTAAAAAGTCTATTGTTGAACAGCTCGAGGATATTGATGATGTAAATAATTGAAATGTAATGCAGTAGATACTTGTAGGAAATCTTAGAACTGGAGAGTGAACGATCAAGGAGTATCGATTCAGAGAAACAATTCGCATATAGGCTTATACTCTACGCCATAATAATCTTTGGTCTAAGCTTCATCTTTGTTTATTACAATTACTGGCCGCAAACATTGGGAGGACAAATCACAGTATCCCTGATATTTGCTCTGTATCTGCCTTGGTATGTTCACTTCCAATCTCCTCATTTATCAGCATATTACTGTTGAAATATTTTGTCCGGATTATATTCACGAGACGCGTTAACAGGACAAGTAAGTTCGATTAATGCGCTAAATATATTTTTAGATGAAAAATTGAAAAAGCTGCGTGCAACGAAACAAAAATTGGTGCGTTCTAACAAATGTATTTATTTCTTATGACAGTTAGATGATGTGAGGGAGAAAGAGCCATACAACAAGGCGCAACAGATTCTGAAGCGTTTTGATCCATTAACATTTGCTTCCATTGCTGCAGAGGTAGGACGACTTCATGTTATCATTTTTTGTTTGTACTTGACTAGGAAAGGAAGCTTGCAAAGCCTGGCTTTGGCTCCATGATCAACTTGGAATCTTCTCAGTCAGAAATACGACGTAGAAATACTTGTGACGCTGCTGCAGGTGATAAACTTTCGAATCCTGGATTATCAAATGCGCAATTTGTTGCTCCTTTTTATCGTGTACTTGATATGCGTCTTATTAAATTAACGTAGCACTTCATAGCGAGCAGTAATTGTGAAGAGAACAAAGTATTTGATAGGTCGGACTTGTAGGCTGAATACTTTACAAACATGATTATATATATACATAATGGTTTAGGATAAAAGGTTTGAAGTCTATGTTAATCCTTTTCGAGTAAATTTCTGTGCTTGTCCAAGCCTTTCCTGAATAAACCAATTGAGGTTGCAGCTATCACTTCTTCTGGGAGTTGGTTACACAGGTTGATGACGGTGTGAAAACCAATACTACACAGGAATAGTTTCTTCTTGGCTTTTGAACTCCCCTGCTGTCTTCTAAGGTGTTGTGACCTAATGGAAAGGAAAAGAGGGAGAGTAGATCAGGTCCCTAGTCAATATAATTAAGATTTGAAATATTGCAGTAAGATCTCTCTGCCTGCGATATAATAGGGAGAAGAGATTTAAGCCATCTAGTCTTTCCTCGTATGATAAATTAGTCACGCCGAGAATCATCCGTGTTGTCTTCCTTTGAAGCCTTTCTAGAATATGTGAGTCCCATTTAAGACTGGCTGGCCCCCTGTATACAGTTTTCCAGTTTTGACGTCAATGGGGATGTATGTGAAGAGCTGAATATATGTATGTTTAATATATGAATAGTGTAATTTAGCAAGTTATCGGTTTTCATTGATCATACATCCTTTCGACTTAGTAAGCATTTATCACAATGTTCGTGTGTTTGTATGTTGATTTTCCTAAAGAATATAAATAATTATATCTTTAGAGTATTTAGCTAATGCGTCTTATCAAAGTTTGTGATTTCACCAGTTACTGCGTTTCCATATTTATTTCCTCTTTACACTTATTATAGATCTCCGTACAAAAATTGACCTAATGTTTTGTTTTTTTACCATGGTGATATCAGTTTTACTGTCGGTCCTCAGACTTATGGCCTTACGTACATTTAATGAAGGCGTATCTAAGTGTGGTTGGTGACTGACCGATTTTTACCGTAGAAATCTGCACAGAGGTAGAGGAAAAAAGGCAGTTTAGGAAAGGAGATCGGTAACGTAGAGAAACATGACGCAATGAATTTCGAAAGAGTGAATGCATCTGCACCACTGATGACGATTTTAAGTCATGTAACAAAGTCTCAAGTCATTGGTTTTTGGCATCCTAAGGATCTCAAAGTAGCAGTGCACACTACCATAGCATAGTTAACAGTTGTTTGTGAATAAACCACTCAGAGAAGTATACTGCAGCTAGAGAAGTAGATAGTCATCTATCGCCTTATTTTTTTTCAACCTGACAACCACTTGTCACTTCACATGCTTGTCACACATATGGATTCACACATGTAGTTTCGACTTAGCATTAAGTATACGATTATTGTAACTTGGCGTTGTTAGTCAATCAACGTTTTACTAATTAACATGTGTAAAACTTGGGTACTGTGGTAGTAAGTGATTCCATATTACTTTTTATTTATTAGATATATCACACAGTGAAACAGTATTATTTATTGGATGACGAGGTTTCAAACACAATTTATATATTGTTCACAATCATATCAATTGTAGTCACACGACATGGAAACTTGAGTTTTATAGTTGTCTCTATTCTTTCTAATTTGTCATCGTAGGTGTTATAGAATTTTCCAGATGTCTGGAACAGGTGTTAAATCATTCTTATTACACGTATTGGCAGTTGATTGGATTAATAAACCGTCCGTTATCAATCTCTCCCTTCACCTTGTTACATTAGGTTTTAAAGTGTCACCTTATCCCATCATCCTATTGTATGGTTGTGTGTAATAGAATGTAGTACAATAGGTGGACTATATATCAGATTTCTTATCTTATTAGGGTCAGCTAGTGTACATTTTGCTAGGTTCTTGTACTACTGTTCTAGTCACACTGACTGACTCCGTTCTACTACTTTGACCTGTGTATTTGACCTGACAATCATTGCAGGCAGGGTATTAGATGAAGTAAATTGTTTTGTTTTAAAGGCTCCACAGGATCCTTTAACTGACAAAGCTTGTTTCTAATTGAGTTTGTGGGTTTGAGCGTTTTACTAATTTTAACTTTAATCATCCGCTTCTTTGTGCTTGAATAGTATAAAGAAAGTAACATGGAGCTGAAAGAGAGCTGTGATTATAACATGTTCTCTACTGAAACCAGTCCGTCAGTCAGTCAGACCTCTTTGCTGTGCCTATTGGACCTATTTTAACAATATATGTCGGCTATATCGATATAAGGCGTCTGTTTATTGGTCTACCAGATGGAATAGTTCAGAGGGGAATGACAGCTAATTTCAGTTTCGAGAATTGCTTTAACCTTGACTGTATTTACGACACATTCATATATTTTTTAACTATTTGAATAAAGTACCGTATTTGTGGTCAGGCATAAAATGGACCCACACAAAAAACTTGGAGGGTCTGGACTTCGCCTGTGATAAATGTCTGATTTCCCATAAACTCGAAGATATGCAAGTGAAAAGCAACAAGGTGGCAGCAGAAGCATCCAGAGAAGATAGGACTTCAGGTGAACATTGACACAACAGAGATAGGTGATGAAGATTCCTGGCCAACAACACCAACAGCAATAACAGTTGAGAAAAATCAGCATAAATGGGAGAAATCTGAAAGAAACAACCTCCTTCACCTACCTGGGAGGCATCGTTTCAACTACGGGCAGAACTGATAAGGATATCAAACCAGTGAGGATCGGGAAAGCAAGGAAAGCTTTCATTACTCTCAACAGCATTCAACATGAAAAATAAGATCTGGATTTTCAACTCCGATGTGAAGTCAGTGCTACTCTATGGATTAAAGACTTGGCGCGTCACAAGAAGCACTTAGAACAAACTACAGACCTCCATCAACAGCTGTCTTCACTCAATACCACTCAAGATCAGATGGCCGGCCAGAAAAGATCAGCAATAATGAGGGATCTCTGGCAATGAACGAACCAACCAACCCAGCAGGAACCAATTGTGCAACAAATATGCAGGATGAAATGGAGGTGGATTGGCCATACTCTGACGAAACAAACCATCATCACGTGAGTGACATCACACGTCAGGCCATCGCTCCAGTGGAACCCAAACGGTAAGCGGCGAGTTGGTCGTCAGTGTGAGGGTGCCATGGAGGAGGCGATATGAATAGGAGATGAAAGCATATGGGCAGACTTGGAACCAGGTGAAAACGTTAGCAGAGAAGTGAACGCAATGGAGGCGTGCTGCTGAAGCCCTATGTTCCTCTAGGAATTAAAGGACATAATGAAAATAATAAATAAATAAATAAAATAATTTGTGGTCAGTAAGCTTGAACTCTTTTCACAGGCATCTGTATCATTTGATCAGTAGCATCACTTTTCATGGAATAAACAAGTATACAAGTAAAGTTAACATCTTTACTAAAATGGCATTAGTAATGATTACCACCATTAGTTTGCTGATAGTAAGTGTTTGATTCTACTTTTGTTTTTTCTTTTTGTGTTGTTGTTTTGTAGACCAAAGTGTGCCTACACAACCAAGTGGTTCCGTTCAGGCACTAGCAATGAACAAACCACGTTTGATAAGACCACTTTTGCCTAGAGAACGTTCATTAGTTGATAGACTGTTGGATCTATTAGTCGGTGATGGTCCTGATAAACGGTTTGCTCTAATCTGTGGCGAATGTGCTGGGCATAATGGAATGGCTTTAGAAGAAGAATTTGAATATTTAGGTTAGTTGAACCTCTGTTATATATTATTTAAACTGGTGTTTTTTTAAAAAATTTTTGTTACATGTTGTGGAAATAGCTTCGTACATTGAGTTGATCACGGATTGATATCAGTTAGAGAACCGTTGAAAACCAGCAGTGGAGAGTACTGGACAGCTGTTTCATCAGCCTAGTTTGGGAATCATCTGCACCCACTTCCAGAGTTCAGACCCAGGATCTTGCGGTTACAAGGCAAGCTGGCTCGTATACAATTCATCCACAAACCAACTATAGCAAATTAATTTGATGCTTGCTAGTGACTGACTAGCTATAGGACGAAGTTCTAGTGAGAAGTCGTGACCAGTAAGGTCCATCCAGTCAAGTGTGAGGATGGATTTCCCACCGATGATCATCGAATGGTTGGTGCCAGTTGCGCTAAATGCATCACGAATTGGTAGAAGTTAGAATTCATGGGCTGGCCATTGAATCGGTTGGGTCCCAGTGACTGAATGGTATACGAGCGCCAGCTTGCCCTGTAACTGGAAGGTCGTGGGTTCGAACCCCGTTGTGGTGGGTGCGTACTGCCGATGACTCCCAAACTAGGCTGATGAAACAGCTGTCCAGTACTCCCTGTAACTGGTTTTCAATGGTTCTCTAACTGATATCAATGCGTGATCAACTCGTAAAAAACAAAACTTATCCTTACAAACCGACTATAGAAAATTTATGCATTGAATAAAATGTAATTTATCTGGATAGTATGCAGATGTGCCTCCTCATCTGCTTAAGCTAATAGGCCTAGGATTTAAATTTCACTCCATCTATCTCCGTCTGAGTAACTGAGTAGTGTCACATTAACGTCGTATATAATAAATGTGCTTCGTAACCTGGTTGGTACATGAAAAATCTGCCTCAGGTAGCTTAGTTCTGACTAACTTAGCTTGTGGTAATGGTTTAACGTCCGACCAATAGCTGCTACCATGATATGATGTTTGGGGTTGCATGTCGCAATAGCCCAACGAGCTACACTGGCTAGAATTATTGTCCCTACAGGTCCTACCATGCCAGGAAGGTTGTTAGGATAGCGATTAGACTAAAAGCAGTTACCGGTGCAGTGTAAGAATTTCTTTTTACACTATGCTGGGGGTCTGTGGGCGAAGTGGTACTGCCACTGGGGAACAGGGATGTAAAAGCAGTGAAGTGTTTCCCTCAGATGACCAGCATGCCAGCCAGCTATGCTGTCTGTCCACTCTAGAGGGAGAGAGGGGGTTAGAAAAAGTTGACCCCAACCATTGTACATCCCGACTTACCCCACTTACGGTGGTCCGTAACCGGTGGTAAGTTTACTGATACGGAATCAAACCAAGAAACCAGTTCATACCGGCCGTGTGTGACTGGCCGGTGTCAAGCAGTTGTCCCCTGGGCTCTACGGTCACGCAACACTAACCCTCTTTCTGTTTCAGGTACCCGAATAATCAACCAACTTCTACAGTGTGGGCAGCTGGGAGGTAACAACCGCCCACACATTTCCAAGAGCACACGAAGAAATCGTACTACTGGCGAATAGAGCAGTGTAACACCAGCAAGATGTTTGTCTCACGCCCAGGAGGAAGCCAGCTATGTTGTTTCTCCTCTTTTGAAGGGGGTGTGGGGGGGTGCGTAGTTAAAGTGGATCTTAAAAACCGTACATTTTGACTTTGTGGCATTTGGTGGTAGGGAACGGTAAAATCTTTATACGGATACAACTCCAATAACCACCTTATCCTGTTTGTGTATGACTGGCCTGATTTTGTCTAGTAATGAATAAAGACTAAGGCGTATTTTCGATTTCTGAAACTATGTTCCACTATCCAGTGGAAATAGGAGGTAATCCTGTAGCGAATCTGACTGATAGACCATAAGGTATCATGCAGATGTATTCTCTCCCTTTTTGTTGATAAAGATTTGGTCAGGTAAATAGAGTAAATTCACTGTGTGGCAGAACGATTTACGAACACAGATCTGTATTCTACTGTTATCTATTCGTAGAATAAGCAGACGACGGAATGTGTTCACAGTGCAAGTGATCTATCTAAGTTATTCACTGACCTTTTTTGAGTAGATGGTGTGTCAGTTTGATTTTAAAGATGCCTGATTTTTATTCTATGCTATCAATATTGCTTTCCAGCATTATTTATTACCATATGACATGAATATACCAGTTGGAGTCATTCAGAATAAGTTATCACCTAATACAACACTCCATATATTTTTTAATGGCGATAGATGTTTGCGTCTAATGTCTTGCGTTACGTCCCCGATTGATAGATGAATTAAGGTATTACGGGGGTGAATTGTGTTACCGAGGAGTAATCTTGTCGATTTAGAGGATGTAAATGATATAGTCTTTTTAAGTGAAGACACTGGAAAAATTCAGGGTCTTCTGAATACCTTGAGAAGAAATATTCGTATGTTTGTTGTACGATTTGTCTCTAGTCTGCACTGACTCCTATCTTAAGGATAGTGGGTGAAGCCGTAGAGCATTTTGATCAATTAACCTATCTGGGAAGTTACAATCGTATAGTGGCACTGACTTCACATTGGAGTTGAAAATCCGGATGTTATTTTTCATGCTCAGTGCTGTTGATCTCCACACAGACTTGAGAGTAAGGAAAGCTTTCCTTGCTTTCCCGATCCTCGCTGATTTGATATCCTCGTCAGTTCCGTCCGTAGTTAAAACGATGCTTCCCAGGTAGGTTGGTAGGTGAAGGAGGTTGCTTCTTTCAGACTTCTCCCGTTTACGATGATTTTTCTCAATTGTTGTTACTGTTGCTGTTTCCGTCGGCCAGCAATCTTCATCACCTCCGTTTTTTCTGTGTCCACCTGAAGGAAGTTCTATCTTCTCTGGATGCTTGTTCTGTGAACTTGTTGTTTTTCACTTGCATATCTTCCAGTTTGTGGGTAGTCAGGCATATATCATCGGCGAAGTCCAGATCCGGCAAGTTTTTTGTGTGGGTCCATTTTATGCCTGTCTCCTGGCTTGTTGTCATACTCATAGTGTGTTGCAGTGATCTCAATCGATGTAGCTCCACAACCTCATCGAATTGACTTGTCATCCTTAACCAACAGTCTACACCTAACCTCTATATTACTCACCAATATTATTATCTATTTATGTATTATTATTGTTTCCTTTAGTTCCTAGAGGAACATAGGGTGTCTCGGCCGCACGTCTTCATTGCGTTCACTTCTCTGCTAACGTTTTCACCTGGCTCCATATCTGCCCACACGCTTTCATCTCCTCTTTATATGACCTCCTCCTTGTCACCCTCGCACTGACGACCAACTAACTCGCCGCTTCCCATTCGGGTTCCACTCGAGTGATGGCCTGTCTAGTGATGTCACGTAGTGGTTTCCTCAGAGTATGACCACAATCCACCTTCCTTTCTTCCTGCATATTTATTGCACAATCGGTTCCTGCTGGGTTGGTTCGCTCCCATAGATCCGTCACTGTTGCTGATCTTTTCTGACTGGCCATCTGATCTTGAGTAGTATTGAGCGAAGACAGCTGGTAATGGAGGTCTGTAGTTTGTTTGAAGTGCCCTGCGTGAGGCGGCACCAAGTCTCTGATCCATATAGTGAGTAACACTGACTTCACATTGGAGTTGAAAATCCGGATCTCATTCTTCATGTTGAGTAGTGGTGTTGATCTCCACACAGACTTGAGAGTAATGAAAGCTTGCATTGCTTTCCTGATCCTTGCTTTGATATCCTCGTCAGTGTTCTCCGCTTGTAGTTGAAACGATGCTTCTCAGGTAGGTAGGTAGGTAGGTATGTGAAGGAGGTTGTTTCTTTCAGACTTCTCCCATTTATGCTGATTGTTGTCTGTTGGTGTTGCTGCAGACACTGTCATTCATCAATTTTATACCACTTAATACTAGAGAGAGAGAAAAATCAAATATCTGTGGTCAAAGACATTTAGCCTTCTCATATCTCCCACTTTCTATGACCATGTCTCACAAACATAAAGTATGACGGATCAAAGTGTTGCGTGGTACACACACATCCTATGATCGATAGATGGATATCGCCTCCGTGTAGCAAAGGTGTGAGCGTTTTTTTCTATCTGTGCTAAGATTTCGTTAGCAATCAGTTTACTGTTATGGCTGAAAGTGAGTGAAGTGGTAAACACTCTCTACCACTAGCATGACCTTAACATTTAAAAGGATCGAATCACATGCCAAATACTCGAAGATTTCTACTCAAGTTGTTGAAAAGACCCTGAATTTTGTTTGTAATATTTCAGTAATAAAATAGTTTATTATCATATTAGTTTGTTTATTAGATGTATCACACAGTCAGTGAAACTGTATTATTTACTGGATGACAAAGTTTCGAACACAATTCGCTTATTGTTCATAATCATGTCAATTACAATCACACAACTTTGGAACTTTATATAGTTTTATAATTTTCTTTGTCCACTCGTATTTTTCGTCGTAGGGGTAGTAGGGTTTCCCAGATATCTGATTGGACAGCTGTTGAATAATTCCTACTACACCTATTCTCTCTCAGTTGATTAGATAAAGAAAGCTTCTGTTATCAATCTCTCCCTCCATTCACCCTGTGACATTAAATTTTAAAACTCATCCTATCCCACCCTGTTGTATGGTTGGTTGTGTGTAATTGCATGTAGTGAGTGCTATAGCTGAACTATTCTCTCGTTTTCTTATCTTGTCTGGGTCAACTAATCTAGATTTCGCTGCTAGGTTTCTATGTCCTGCTAGTCTGACTGCGCCTGTTCTACTAGTGTGACCTCTGTATTTGTACATATGTACATATAAGAGAAGCCTTGAAACTTGATAATTACCCTGATAAATTAGTCAGGAAATATGTATGGAAATGTAAAAATAAAATAAATATTGATAGTAGTGATTGTGATAATTATTATAATAATCACGACATGCAAGTCAAATGTGCGCAAGTTAACATCAACAATAAGGAATCTAAATCATCAGTAGTACTTACATACAGGGAAGGAACCT